CGAAAACGACAAAAATAAGCACGAATGGGTCCCCCCAAACCCTATAGCATAGACAAGAAAAGGAACTCAACAAGATGCAGCCACTGCAGCCCAGAAGCCGGTTTTAAGCGTGGTGTAGAGAGCTCGGAACTGCAGACTAGGGGCCTTTCAGCACAAGCCCTGCCACGTAGAAAGGACCTGCCCTAGCTCGGTGGGAACCGCCAAATGTTAGGAATATTTCCTAACCGAGCTCTCTGACGACGCAAAAATTCCCAATCAAGCCAAATCAAAACAAACCGAATTAAGAAATATTCAGGTTTAGTGGAAGATCTGCGCTCTTGGGTGGCCCCGAGGGGGAAACCGGGAAGCCACAGAAATGGGACCCGCAGGAGGAAGAAAGGGGGACCACTTGTTCTTCTTTTGGGGGATCACTTAAGTACCCTGGGGAGTGGTCCTGACCCCACCCCCAGGGAGGGGTCAGCATCTGGCCTGCTGGGATTTGAAGTCCAGACCAGGCCTGAAGGCTGAGATAGATGCCAGGGACTGAGGCCTAGACTCCCAGCCTAACACCCTGTATGTGGTTTGATCAGGTTCTTGAACCTGTAGATTTTTTTTCTTTCTTTGTTTTTTTTTTTCTTCCAAACTTTCGTTTATTATGTTTTTCTCTTACTTATCTGTCCGTTCTGTCTGTTCCACTGTTTCTACCACTTGGATGATTCCAGTTTAGATACTTTGTTCTGTGAAAGGTCAATCTTTAAGTCCACTTTCTCTGCCCTTTCATCCTTATACTGTTGAGTGTATCCAGTCAGACTGACATATGTAAGTCCTCCTGAAAATCTCCATATAAATTTTACTATTCACCTGTAGTGGGAGGCCGCTTGTTTGTTTCATGGCCACACAGACCCAGGAAAAAAAATCACACAGAAACTGTATTAATTAAATCACCGCTTGGCTAATTACTTAAGCATATTGCTAGCTAGCTTTTACATCTAGAATTAATCCATCTCCATTATTTTACCACAAGGCTCACTGCCTATGGGTAGGTTTTACCATATCTGTCTCTAGCAGCAGCTCCATGGCTCCTGACTCTGCCTCCTTTCTCCCAGCATTCAGTTTAGTTTTCCCTACTTAGCTCTGCTCTACCCTATCAGGCCAAGCCAGTTTCTTTATTAACCAATGGTATTCACACCAGACCGAGGGGAATCTCACGTCACTCCCCTGAAATTTTCTCTTCTTTCCCTTTCATCCTTTTATTTTAACATCAAGACACTTTGCAATTGACGTTTAATCTCTATCATGCTTGTTTATAATTCTTATCATATAATTCTAATATCTGGATCCTGTTGTCATCTGCAGAATTTTTTTATGTGAACACAATAAGATTATAAATTTCTTGGATTCTTATGATAAAGAATTTTTAAGAACAGTCTAGTTATTTTGAAAGGATTCTGTTGTTTCTGTGCTATTTTCCTTCTCATGGTCTCTTTTCTTTAGGTTTTGTATAATTTTTATCTTCTTGCATGAACTTTGAGCTTTGGTGAGGCTAACAGGTCTTTCTGAACACACTGGTGCTGTAGAGGGTCCTACTTGGGGTTTCTTGGTGTCGTGGGAGAGAAATAATGAAAGATGCTTGCTTCAGCGTTCGTTTTTCTTCAGATGCATGGTATACAAAAAATGAATTTTAACATAGTTACATAGAAATTTATCTTGTTCATCTTTCTTTTCACATTGATTGTGCCTATATTGGTATGTGTAACATTTATGAAAATTTTCTCTATCTTGAAGTTATCAATTGTCTATATATTTTAGTAAAACTTTTAATGTTTTCTCTTCACATTTTTACATTACCTTTTAAACAATGATTTTAAAGATATATTTCTAATTTTTTAAACAAATTGTTGACTAATTTATAGAACTGATCTTGTCACATCAATTTAGTATGATACTGAAATGTCTCGTCACTGTAGCCAAACAAGATTTAAATAGAGATAGTAAATGGGGAAAAAAATCTACTGATGGCTACATAAAACCCCCAAGGATTCTACAAAACCATTTTCATAACTAATAAAGCATGCTCCTATGGTTGTCAGACAAAAGATAAAGGAGCAATATACTATCTGTCTGTCTGTCTGTCTGTCTGTCTATCTAGCATCTCTATCCATTTCTATCTACCTCGAATGTCTGTCTGTCTGTCTGCCTGCCTATCACTATCTGTTTTTCAGACCCATGGAGCTAATACTAGACTCACTGGATTCCTGCTCCTTATGTATCAAAGGCTGGCCTTAAACTCCTGATCCTGCTTCTATACCCCAAGTCCTGGTGATACACCATTGCCTATTCACGTGTTAATTTTGTAAGGATATCACCTGTACCCAGTGATCTATCTACTCTTAAATCTATGTTCAAAATTTACAAAGAGTAATAATGCATGGCCTCTCTCTTCTGCTGCTGCTGCTGTACAAAAGAGCATAGTGTGGTGCAGACACAAATGAAGGAAGGAGAAATAAACACAGAGATATGATCAGTGAACTTCTGACCAAACAGAAATGTTGTTAAAGAAGAATTGATAGTCTTTTTAGTAAAGGGTGCTGAAGCAAGGAATTACCCTCTCCGAAATCCATACATTAAATGAGACTGCTATCTAAACCACATAACCCACACCATGAAAACTGATTCAAAATGGCCAACAGACCTACAAAATAACTTGTTTAGAATCCATGTAGGAAAAAAGCATTTCAGCCTAGCAATGGGCAAATAATTTTTAGACTTGACATCAAAAGTAAGATCCATAAAAGGAAAAAAAAAAAGTAAATTGATTTGGGTCCATAGGTTTTAAGGCTCAATGCATAAAACATGGCAACCGTTTGTGATGTAATAATGATTGATGACACAACTGTATAGCTGAAAGGAACTGAACACATGATTTAACTTCTACTTAATAAATTTTCACTTGTTGCTTCTATAATATATTCGAATATTTTTCAAACTTTTCTGTTGCAAGTTATCATTTATGACTTGAAAAAGGAGATATGATTCTTTGTGTTGGCTAGGTTAAATGATAAAACAGAACAAAAACAAAGTTAGTAAAAAAAAACCTAGAAGCCTGGTTATTTATTGAGAAAAGAGAACTTGACTAATTTCTTTTATGGTTGATAGAGACATAAGGGTGTGGGTTCTCATGAACGGGTGACTAGATACAAGGATGGAAATGCAGGATCCAGTTTGGTATGCATTTTTCTTAAGCAGTTAGGGAATAGAGATCATATTTTGGATTATTAATTATATTATATGTGTAAACAGAATACATGTGTGCTTCCTTATCCAAAAAGAAAATCCAATAAACAAATCAAAAGGAATGAACCTGCTTATTAGAGTAAAACATAATAAACACCAAGATATTCAAATCATAGGCCACATTACATGTAACTGACAAGTAGCAGAAACCCACCCCAATTATCAATTGTTCCACGGTGAACAGGGGAAATAAAAGTTCTCACTACTCTAAAACCCTCCCTGCTGTAGTCGGTGCCCTGAGCTAAAATTATCCCTAGGCTCTCTCTCTGTAACCCCAATTGATGTCATCACTGGGAAAACAGCAGGAAACTGAAGGAAACAGCTCCTGCGTTAAGTCTGATATAATTACTTTTTCAAAAGCCCAAGTATCCTGTTCTCTTGTTGACAGGGAAAAAACAAGCTTTGCAAGTGAGGAGGCTGACAGACTTCAGGAAGCTGTTGGGGGCATGGGTCCTCTGGCATAGCATGGAAGGAAAACTTGCAAAACTAAGCTAACCAGGAGCAAAGATAAACTGGAAGAGACATATAGGCTTTGGGTGCCACATGTAATACCACAGAGCAAGTTAGTAACTATACCTAGTTGAACTAGAACCTATCAATAAATATTTTGCTTTACTTTCCCCCCCAAATCTCCAAATAAAAGACAAGAGGAAGAATGTCTCTTTCACAGAGGTCTTAGTCACAGCTGCATTCATAGAGGATATCAGCAAGAAATGTATTTGGCCTGTTCTACCTCCTGTGTACAGCTACCTAGACAAGGTCACCAAAGAAAGTGGGACCAATGATTGGAAAAAGATACTTGCAATGCTCATCACCGAAGCAGGGGGAATAGAGTATATGTCGCGTTTCTGCAAGCTGACATGAAAACAGCCAATTGATTTTCATAGTTGGTCAAAATTCACTGTTGTTTTTAGAGAAAAAAAAAAGAAGCATGTTTAACTGGGCCTGCAATGAGCTGACAGAGTGGATGAAAATATTCAAACATCTTCCCAGTTGCCACCAAACTCGGGTGGAGCCGTCCACAGAGGTAGAGAGAACAAGGGGATGGAGTGTCAACAAAAGAGCTAGCCTTTGGAAGTCAGAGTTGGCCACGGAAGCACTGCTGGGAGAAGGGCTTCTCTTTCTCCTTTTTCTGATTCACAGTCTGGTCCTTTTCCCTGCTGGAGGAACACTTTAAACAACATGGATAATCACAAACCAGGGAAATGCTGAGGCTCCTCACCCACAGCTCGACTCCTGTTAATGTCATTAGGAATTCTACCCGCTCACTTCCCTAATAGTTGAAGTTAAATCAAACACATTCCAGAAGTCAGACTTTGGCAGTGTAAACTCCCACGAATCAGGAAGAGCTAGGATTGGCAAACTTATCAGATGGCATCCCCAGTCTTACAGCCCCCAAACTCTGAGGAGGTTAGAGAAGGAAATTCGAGATTTAATATATGAAATGTGCTGTCTTAAATCACCACCACTAATTTTCCCAAGACAAACTTTATTGGAGGCAGCAAGCAGCTCACTGAAAGGGTAGGGTCATGCCTTCATCCCACCACTGCCCTTCGAAGACAGGAGTATCCTGAGCACCAGTCAGAAGCAGGCACACAGCACAGTCGCACATAAACTTCCTGGAGAGTGCCTGCAGCAGTTTTCTTCTCAATTACATTTGTTATCTTCTTTAACATACACTTTGGTTATATTTCGGGGAAAAATTAAACAAATAAAGAACAACTTGCCGCGAGTGAGAATAGTTTCCCCAGAGTTAGGAAATGACACAGCTGCCCTTTTCTTTGAAGGGATTCTTGTCTTCTGGGATTCCCTTCACCAGAGGATCCTCTCCAGAACGTTCTTCAATATAGTTCTTTATTTCTTCAGAGCATTTAGACACCTGAAGTTTCAAAAAAGGGAGGGGGGAATCAAAAGAAACAAATTAGGTCAAGAATATTGTTCTTTGCTGCAGGCTTTTTGGAAGTTGTTAAAATTTCGTGAATAAGATTTAATTTTTAAAAATAATGTTTTAACTATATATTTATCCCCCTGGATATTGGAAGTAGTCAAGATTGCTGGGCAAAAGTTTGGGAACTGGGGGGTGGGGTGGGATGGAAGAAAGGGGAGATAAGGAGAGACAAGTGAGAAGGGGAGGATGGAGAGAGCTTGGGGGAATGGGATGGTTGGGATAATGGAAGGTTGGATATGGGAGCAGGGAAGTATATATCTTAATTAAGGGAGCCATTTTAGGGTTGGCAAGAGCCTTGACTCTAGAGGGGTTCCCAGGGGTCCAGAGAGATGTACCCAACTAGTTCCTTGGGCAGCTGGGGAGAGAGAGCCTGAAATGGCCCTATCCTATAGCCATACTGATGAATATCTTGCATATCACCATAGAACCTTCATCTGGCGATGGATGGAGATAGAGACAGAGAGACCCACATTGGATCAATGGACTGAGCTGCCAAGGTCCAAATGAGGAACAGAAGGAGGGAGAACATGAGCAAGGAAGTCAGGACTGCGAGGGGTGCCCACCCACTGAAACGGTGGGGCTGATCTATTGGGAGATCACCAAGACCAGCTGGACTGGGACTGAAAATGCATGGGATAAAACCGGACTCTCTGAATATGGTGGACAATGAGGGCTGCTGAGAAGCCAAGGACAATGGCACTGGGTTTTGCTCCTACTGCATGTACTGGCTTTGTGGGAGCCTAGCCTGTTTGGATGCTCACCTTCCTGGACCTGGATGTAGCGGGGAGGACCTTGGACTGCCCACAGGGCAGGGAACCCTGACTGCTCTTTGGGCTGGAGAGGGAGGGGGGAATTTTTAATTAAAAAAATTTAATAAAAAAATAAAATTAAAAAATGTTTTAAAACTTCTTCCTATGCTCTAAGATTTTTATTTTATTCTATTTGTATATGTGATACAATCTGTGAGAAAAGAACTTTAATTATTCAAGAAGCAAATGCTTGAAAGCCATTGTAGGAATAGTTTATCCATGAAAATTTCTGTTCATGTGTCACGTGATTTCGGTCCTCTCTGAAATACACTTGTAACAAACCTATCTTCAAATTCTCTCCATGACAGTTAGCTGTCAGTCGCCCGTCACCGTTCTCACACAGACGCTTATGCCACACCCCAGAACTCCGTGTAGTCGCCGAAGGGGCGGGAAAAGGCTCACTGGCACTGACATATTTGTCCTCCCGTCTCCCTTTAAACCATGCCTCAGAATTCCTTTGACCACTATGGCGATGATTATAATAAAGGCTTTTCTAGGGGGATTGTAGGGTTATATGAGATTCTGCATTTAGAGAATCAGCTTAAACTTTTCTTCCACTGGGAAAAGATTAAATAGTTTTTTTTTTTTCAAAAATTCTGCCAGTAAGAGACAAGTTTCAATTTTATAAAAAATAAATAAATAAATAAAGGAGAGTAAGTGGGAAATGAAAAGTAAGAGTCACTAAACATAAAGGTCTGTTTTGAGAGTAAGAAGTCTGAAGTAACATGGGTACTATCAACAACAGTTTGTGACTTAAATTAGTACCCTTTGAGAGAGTCTCACTAAACATGTTTACATATCTCTCCAAACATGCACACTTATTTATAAATAAGTATAGGTACCATAGTGTTAATACATCATACACAAATATGAAACATAACCTAGTAATTATAAAAGAATGAGATTCAAAAATAAACAGAAGTAGAAACCTCATTATATGATTTTTTTCCTTCTCATAACTGAAAGCCCTGCTCGCATGGCAGTGTGTAGAACCCACTGGTCCAAACCTTAAAACTAGGTCAAACAGTGACAGCGATTAAAATGTGATAATAAATGGTATCCTGCCAAGAATCTGACTATTGCTGGCACTCATAGTGTGTGTGTTTTAAAGGAATTCTCAGTGCTGATAAACGGAGTGTTAAAACCTGGAGTCTACGGGTCCAGTGAAACATCTGGATAAGATCCATGTTCCCCACTGTTCCTGCAGAAGCTTTTACACTGGGCTTCTGAAAATGTCAGTAATCTCCAAAAGTGGATAATTGCTCCTTCTGTGATGGAGAGGACATATCTGACCCCTAATTAGTTAGCTGCAGTCAGATGTGATATGTGAATGGGCTTGAGCACTACCCCAGGCGTCAACAGTGATTGACGGGATAACATGGAGGGCACCCCAGAAAGACTCTGGAGGGACCTGCATTGTGGTTCTCTGTGGTGTTGAAGAAGGAATTAGTTAGCCTCTCTGGGACTGAAGTGCTTCTCTTCGCTCAAGTGACGGCTCCAGTGGTATCTAAGAGCCACAGTGCTCACCTGGCACTAATAGAGAGAGACCTCTGTGCGTCATGCTGAAAACGAAATGTTTGAGAACGCTGCAGTGTGAGATGGCCCCTCTAGGAATCCAGGAACGATCACCCTAAGTCTTTCTGTCTTCCCTGAACTTAGAAACTTAGAGTTTCTGGAGTTGGAAAAGCTGTTATGTCCTGTGTGCCCTGGGGTTGAGGTGATTCCGAGGGAGAAAGTGCACAAAAGAGATGCTTGTTTTTTACACTGGCACAACCAGGACCCTGCGGCAGAAACCAGTCCTTTCCTACACATCCCTGTAACTTCTACCCAGTGATGCTAACTACACAAACAGCTCAACTTTGCAAAGGCAAAAGATTATTTCAGTATACGCAGTGCTGTCCCTCGGGCTAACACTTGCCAAACTCAGGGTTTTTGTCACCAGCCAAAACAGCCCTTCAAAGAAAGAAGATTGCTCTATGGTCCTCTCAAAGGCCCTATTCCTCGAATCACATGACCTACTTAAAGTTACATGTAAGGCAGATATCTCACTGTGGAATCTAGGAACAATGTCAATTTGTATGAGGCAAATAGCTAAATGGGGGGGGGGGCATAAAATGGTGAAACTCAAAAAGTTCCAGCCTCTTCTGAAGATCACCAAGGGATAGCAAAACTCTTGTGATGCGAGTTCGGAGTCTGTTTACTTATGCGCCTCATTTCCATTTCTTCTTTTATTTTTTTTAAATATTAAACTATAAACAAAGGGTAAAAATCAAAGAGTCCAGAGTGTGGCTCAGAGGTGACCACATATTCAATGCTCTGAGTTTGGGCCCCAGCATCCCAAAGTTTTAAAAATAAAATCAGTTCAAATTTTTCTTGATGAAGAGAAAAGAATAATTTTCTTAGAAATGACCAAATTATCTAAAAGCCTTTTTCTGAACTACAAGTTGCCAGACAGAATGAGAAGATGATTGTAAAAGGCTCCTACGACCAGCAAGAAACTGAAGTAAAACTCCCAAGTTTTTCATGGAGTTTCAGTGGAAACTCCAGAATATTTTTTTCATTTTCTGGCTAGGCTGGCATGGAACTCTTGACCCTCCTGCCTCCACTTCCTAAGTGCTTGGGAATTACAGAGGTAGACTGCCACACCCAGTCTGCACTCATTTTTTTTTTAAATTTGCAACCATATGTTCTTCAGTATAAATATAACTATGTTTATAAGCAAGTTCAGAAAACACTGTATTAGTCATTTGCATACTTACAAAAAGAGTTGAAAACTGCGTAAGATGTTCAAACAAATAACTGAAATTCAGGCAGTTTTTCCTAAAGCCCCCGTGGAGTCTTTGCAAAATCGAAGTTAACATGACTGGGAGGTTTCAAAATGTATTTTTAGAAGAACTCTTTAATTCCAGAATAGAAGCCAGCAGCCGTTTGGGGATTGCTTATGTTCTTTTTAGGCTATCTTGATGATATTTGACTTTATATTTCTTATTAATTACTGATTCATTAATTCCACCTTTAGCAACTTCCCCACATCATCTAACCGCTCCAGGCTTCTATAGAGAAGCTGCCAGAAGAAAACCAAACCAGTTAACTGTGGCATTCTGACCTCGTTAACATTTCTGAGACGGAATTTTGGAATAGCTGGCCACCTTACCTGTTGTCTCTGCAACTTCACTTCTTTGCGAAGTTGCTCAACCTCCATCTTTAGCTTTTCCTTTTCCGGCAGATCCTCGATGTGAAGGGCAGGCATCTTTGCCCCAGAACTGGGCCCAGGAATCACTTGTGCAAGGCAGCCACTGGAAGCTCCTAGAACCAGGACGCGTCCCCAAATATGCGCCGGCCCAGGCTATCCGTCCCCCATCCCCCCACCCCCTCGCAGGACGTGACTGGCTGGGGAACCTCCGCTCCCAGCTCCCCGGGGCCTCGGCTTCCTGCCCAAGCCTGCTCCCGATGGCCTTTCCCAGAGTCCGGGCAACCTCCAGGCCGCTTCTCCAGGCCCAGCAGCCCTGTATCCAGGCAGCTTGGCGAGAGTTAAGTATGAGACCTCCTCCTGGCTGTTCTGGGCAGGCTGCAGACTCTGCTGGACCACGGGCAGGCCTGGCGCTGGACCCTTGCCACACCCACGGGAGCTGCGGTTGGAGACAAAAGTTTTACTTTTGTTCCTTTATTTTTATTTTTAATTTATTTTGTGTGTGTGTGTGTGTCCCCGTCCAACTTACATCCGGATTTTGTTTAAAGGCAGGAAAAGGACACTACTCAACAGGAAATAACGGTCCTTCACCTCTCCAAGTTTTAAAAATACACAGTATGTACCTTTTCCATATACGTAATGGGGAAAGTGGATATTTGAAAAGGAGGGAAAAAGCGCAATGTGGAACTCAGCTAGGTCTCACAAGTTTCCACCAGAATTGTGTTGACACGTGTCACGTGGTTTGCTAAAGTTTAAAAGGCCTTTGACAAATATGCTTGGAGGAGAAAAGTAGTTTGAGATAAGAGTGTTTCCTGTTGCCAAATAACTATCTGCATTTTCACTTTTTGGTGGGAGTGGTGGGAGAAGTTTTGTAACCCCGAGAAGATAAAAAGACAAGACTAGAAAACTAACAGGAGTTAAAGCCCCCTCCAGAATTCCTCCCATTCCCCAAGACTTCCTAGTACACATCTACATGAAGGGGCAAGTTTCTTGCTTTATGTTTTTGAATTCCTGGTGGACTTCCTTTCTTTGATGGAGGCAGCAGAGTCACTTAGAATAGCTTTCCCCACTTTCTAGAAAGCAATCTGCATGGAACTGCAGCCTTGGATAGCCACGAAGGAGTCTTTGGGAAATATTAAGGTGCAATGTCAATTTTGATCCCTTGTTCATAATGCTCGAAGGTGAGAGAGAAAAAACAAACACATGTGTAAATGTAGGGAAACCTACCTTTGCAATAGAATACCCCCTGTGTTTCCTCTAGACAACTTCCCAGCTAATAGTTAAATCTGGATGAAGAGTGGAGGCATTAGCTAAATATGTCAGGGTACTCGATCTTAGGTATGGAGTTGTTTAGTACACAGGCTCCACCCACTGCCCTCACTGACTATATTAAGATGAAAAGAACAATGGGCTATTTAATAAGTGCTCTTTGGTAGTCCTTCCAACTCTTCCTTGAGCCAGCAATGAAAAGTCACTTAAAATTTTCTGGGTTTTGTTTTCCAGCTTTAAAAATATGAATCAGGGAAGTGGGTGAGTTGTGTCATGTCTCCAAAGGTGACTAAAAGTGATCAATCTTTCTTTTTCCATAAAGAAAATGTTTAGATGCTCCGCTTTCTGTATTTGAAATATCAGGATCTCCCAGACTTAGAGGTGGTCCAGCTGGTGAAGTTTTGCTTATTAGTAATCAGTCAAGACAAACTCACATCTGTCTGAAGAGCCAAGTTTTTGTCTTAAATTTCCTGTCCCTTAAGTTTAAAAAGTTCACTAAAATAGCTTAAGTAAGCTAGTGAAAGTAAGTTAAATGAACGTGGGTAAGTCTTACACCAAAATGAAGTAAGTTGGTTAAGAAAATTAAGGTACATGTCTGACTTAAATAATAACGTAGAATTATTTGGGCCTATAAATTTCCTTTTGAATCAGCTAGTGAATTCAAGGATGCATATTTATAAACATATTCATTGGTGAGCATTTTCCTCGGTATGTGAGGCTTAAATTAGAGACTTTATGTATTAATCCATATTTTTCTTTTATTCTCAGACAATTCACAGTGTGATATCTTTTTTAAAATAAATTAACCTAAGCCGGGCAGTGGTGGCGCAAGCCTTTAATCCCAGCACTTGGGAGGCAGAGGCAGGCAGATTGTTGTGAGTTCTAGTTCGGCCTGGTCTACAAGAGCTAGTTCCAGGACAGGCTCAGCAACTACAGAGAGACCCTGTCTCAAAAAACCAAGATAGATAGATAGATAGATAGATAGATAGATAGATAGATAGATAGATTAACCTAAAAACAATGGAATACTAGGATTCCATTATCATACATTTTAAAAAATGTTTTGTTGTTCTTTGGTTTTAAGTGGTAAAACGATGAAGTAACTTTAAAAAGTTGGGGGAGGGATTTGTAGACACCTGACTTTAAGTACTGAATCCATTGTCCAGAAAAGACCACTGGTAAGAAACTGCTCATGTCTCCTAATAGAGGTGGTCCATCAGCAATGTTCAAAAGGACTTTTATTTGTTTGACTGGTTTTTCCCCTGGCTATTACTGGTGTTGCTGTTGTGTTGAAGACAGAACTCCATTTTTCACACATGCTACACACGAACTCTCCCAATACAGCTACATAGCCCCCAGAGTAAATAACCTTTAAAATAATATTTTTTTGTTAAAAGACAGTTAAGTTTGTATTGGATAATTCAAATGTAGTGATAATTTCATATTGACATTCTACGCATTATTCCATCAGAAGATTATTTACAGGGTAGTTTGTCTGTAATATATAGTCATACCATAAAAAAAAAAAAAAAAAAAAAACACAAGTTTAGCCAGAAAGAAACTTTCATTAAGCATCTCATAACCATTTGGGCAAAATTTATAGAAATTTGTCTGATAAATAAAAGAGGTTAGGGAGATGATGTGGCTGGGGAGAGTGGCTGTGACTCAAATCTAAGGACTTAAGTTCAGATCACTAACACCCATGTGAAAACCAGACGTGGTGGGACAAGTTAATAATCTATGAGAGGTTGGGAGAAGCGGGGGAGAGGGCAGAAATAAATAGGTTCCTGAGCTTCCTGGTCAGCCACTCAGTCTAGCCAGTTGAAAAGTCTCCATCCCCAAAGTGAGGAGGATGTCCACTTGTGCAATAGTGGTACCACAGCTGTGGGAGTAACCAACTCTACTGTTTGTACTCAAGACCGACTCCACAGGAGGAAATTTGTGCCTGGAATGTAAATATTTTTACTAAAAATCCTGTGGCTGGGGAGGTGATAAATTCTGGGGAAAACTTAATAATATTATTTAGCTAAACTCTTAAAATGTCAAACTGCCTTCTAAAAAATTTATGTTCATAGGCAAATGATGCTCTCAGTCTTTTTTTTTAAGATTTATTTATTTATTAAGTATACAACATTCTGCCTCCATGTATGCCTGCACGCCAGAGGAGGGTGCCAGATCTCATTACAGATGGCTATGAGCCACCATGTGGTTGCTGGGAATCGAACTCAGGACCTCTGGAAGAGCAGCCAGTGCTCTTAACCACTGAGCCATCTCTCCAGCCCCCAATGCTCTCAGTCTTGATCAGATAATCCACTTGCTAGCCAAAGGCAGTGAATGAAGTGACTCATGGCTGTTCAGGAATCTGAGAATAAATAAAGTATAATTTCTTACTCCCAAGAAAAATATTCATGATGTCCTCTCAAAGGCTCACAAAATGTGAGCAACATAGTGTAGAAAGCGTGAGAGGGAGGATGACTACAAATACCATCTTTTGTTCGAGGTACAGTGATTATAAGTATACACTTTCTGTAGCTACTGATTTCTGCACTGAGGTTCTGTGATAACATGCAGGCAAAGATGGCCAGAGCAGTGGCTCTGGTCCCTATCGGTGAACACTTGGCTACTGATCGATTCTAGGAGGAGAGGTATGGTTTTCAGTTACCTACTCACTGGTGATCCAGGTAGGCTTCGTTGTATTTCCACACCTGTGATCTGACAAATAGCTCTGATTAAACTCAGTGGGTCACAAAATGAAACATTAAGACAGGGGTTTGAAAAGGGACTTGGAAATTGAGTGTTGGGAACATGAGAGGAAATGAGCTGGTGTGTGGAGAAAATAATCAGGATATACTGCATACATGTACAAAATTATCAGAGAAATAGCTTAATGAACAAACATCAAAATACGGTGAAGATTGATATCAGAAGATACCTAGTGTTGACCTCTGGCCTCCACACACATGCAGGCACACATACCACACACACACACACTCACACACACACACACAGTCACACACATATATACAAAAAGCAACCACTTGCACTTTTAAACTCTAAAAAACATGATCTTGAAATAAAATTTTTAAAATTTCCCAATTAATCAAGTTGTTGTTAAAAATCTATGAAGAAAGTTCATTATAAAAACACCAAAAGAAGTTTTATGCTGCAGTAAAAAAAATACTATTTTTTGGAACAGCGTTCTAACTGTATTTTATTTTGTGTGTTTTAAGGAAAAAAAAAACACCTTTTTTCCTGCTTTTTTTCTGTTGGAAAAAATAAAATCCCAAATTCTGCCTTCTGAAATCATAAAAATAAATAACAGATTAGGTTATTAAAATGATGGCTTCTTTAAGAAAGGTATTTTAGCACATATTTGATTTACTCTTGATTTGTTTGTATTTTTTGGAGTTTGCTAAAAAGCAATCCCATAGCAGCTTCCAGAGATTTGTGCTTATTACTCATAGCCATATATGTGTGCTTCCTGTTTAGATAAAAAAAAAAAGAAAGAGATGCTTTCAAATAACAGAATGGCCTGAGTCTGGTGGTCTAAACACCCCACAGATATTTGTAGTTAACTTTACCAAAGAGTTTCCATCTGCAAAACTGTTTATGAGCACTTTAAAATCTTATCACAAGTAATTGATAATTCTTATTGCTAAGGTTAACTAGTTTTCACATATTATGAAATATCCACATAATTTCTTTAGGAACCGATGCACCTTGAGATCATTTTTTTTAAATATTTGACTAAAATCAAAACAATCTAAATAAGAAAAGAGATGCTTCCCTTCTTTCTCTCCCAATCCCATTCATCTTCACTCTCCCTCCTTGTTCTCCTTCATCTTCTTTGTCTTTTGTAAATCTTGAACTCACCTCTGTACTTACATCTCAAAGTATAAGTGACTCAAAAGAAAGACTGTGTAAGTATTCA